GTTGGTAACCCATATCCAAAGTGTATGGATTGCCTTCAGAGGTGGAATATGTGACTTGGCCTTCTTCCCCCACTATCATGATGAGAAGCTCCTTACAACATTTGTGGCTTGGAGTGAATTTTTCACATGTAGGAAAAATAGTCTTTTAGTCCTTCTATTTTGATATTCAGCATTTGTGAGTGGAAATTCATAATTTTGAGGAGAAGCCATTGAAGTCCATATAGTTGGAGGTAGAAGATTGTCATGAGATTGACTGTTGGTGAACAATTGGTGTTAGGTTTGTACTCTCAAGGATAATGGGCTTGTGACATTTACAAAAGTAGTATAAGATAATTTTAATGAAGAAGAATGTTCTGCTCTTTAGTGCTTTGGGCCACTCACTTGATATCTAGGAGGCCGTGAAGTTGTAGTGTACCTCCACCCTAATATCAGGTTTCAACCCCTTCAAAAAGATATCTTATATGAAATTAAGAGAGAGGTATGTAACTACTCCTAATATGAGCTTAAAGTTTCATTGATAATATACCATAGTCAAATTTTGTTGCAGATTGATTAACTATTGTAAGAGAATGCCCTATGAAAAATTTTCAAATCAATCTAAGACTTTCTAACATAAATATGAGTAGTTGGTAAAATAATGATTACTCTCAATCTAATAAAACTAATGAAAGACCTCATCATTGAAACTTGTAGATGCCCTCCGTGTTGACACACAGTGTGTTTTAATAGATATAGTGAAAAATTATTTGCAAATTATTTTTGAATGAGTTGAATTATAATATGTATCCTGATTGTTTAATTATAAGATAAGTTTAATTGAAAAATATTTAAATAATATATATTGATGATGATTTACATAATTTTATAGCTAACAATGAATATAATGAGTCATACCCTTGAGATATTCTTTTGTACTAAAGTAATGCGGTGCAATATACTCTTATTATAAAACATCATAACATGTGTCAAAAAACATATGACAAAATCTCATGAATATTTTGAAAAATTGAAGTCACAGGTGAAATTCAAATGTAGCACTTGAGTAATGTGAAGAATGTGTTAGTGTGACATTGTCTGAAATATCAAAGACATATGATGACAAACAAGAGATTTAAACTCAAGAAGTAAAATATATGGAAGAATAAAACATAAAAGCCAAATTATTCAAATCAAAAAATAGGTGAAATTTAAATTCCAAGCACTATAACATGTAGAAAGCTGATCGAGATATTCAACACAAAATATGTGATCAATGATTAAAGTAAGGCTTGAACTCAAGACTCTCAAAACAACTAAGCTAGATTATTCGCATAAAGCAAAGGTGATGAAGAAGTCATCACTATGTAACCTACATGATGACATATTAGAGTTTTACATAAAAACAACAAAATAAAAATAACTAAACTTCAACCTAGTATCAAGTGAAAGATCAATCATTAAAATTACATGTACATCTAGACAAGTTTTAAAGACTACTTGTGAGAGACCTACATTTTTCAAAACGAACAAAGACTCAAGGTCAATCTTTCATACTCCAAATAGAAACACATAATCATAGTGTGTAGACTAAATGATAGGCTCAACATCAACATCTTACCTTGACTTTGAAGACAAATATGTCTATTGATCAATTATCTCCATACATCATATCAATAAGTTTTTATTATCACGAGTTAATAATTAATTAATAATATATGTTGTCTTAACTCATGATAAATAAATTTATATTTATGTTAAATTCTGAAAAGTAGTTTTTAGTTAGTGAATGTAAATTTTGACTAATTATGTGATTTTATGTGAATTTATATAAATTTTATAATCATAATTTTTAGATAAATAAATAAAAATAATACAAAAAAGGGAGGACCTGTCAACTAGCTAGGCTCACATGTAAATCAGAAGCACAATCAAATAGAGCCATAAGTAAGGGGGATTGAGCAACTAAGGATTGATAGGGGGGCACATGTGCATCAATCTCCTTCCACGCCATCGATGGCTATCCAAGTGTAAAAGAGTGATCTTACACACATGAGAGGACTATATTAACTATAGAACGAGTTATTACTATAGATTTATCTCAAAACTCAGCACATAGTCAATGTGATACTAAATTCAAGATACCATTCATCTTCAACTATTTTTAATATTCATATATACCTATAATATCCTTAAATAATAAGGAGATACCCTTATACGTCACTTAACAAAAGTATTTATATACATATTTCATTCGCTCTCATATAGGTGGGTGACTAACAAAAGTTTGAATAACACTAGAGTCAAAACTCATATTTTTTATTTAATTAAATTGTGATTTTCTTATAGAGCATCGATCAACAATTAAGTTTCTAGAATCACTTAATTATTAGCAAAAATGTCATCAATATGATTTGGTGAGTATTGTTACCAACTACCAAATGATTCTAGATAAAAATATCACAAATCTATTAAATAAATCATCTTTGATTGATCAACGAATTAGCTGTTGTCAGAAAGAAGACGATATGTCGTGAGATTAGTCCCCTCTTAAAAGTGTACTAGATGCGATGAAGAGTCTCATTTTGCTACACAGACTTGAGGGATGAGGCTCTCTAAAACGTGCCCCACCTCCATACAACTTATCTTTATCGAGTGACAGCCACTACAATTTACAAGTCATTGTATTTTTGCTTCATCGGGTGACAGCCATCAAAATTTGTAAGTTGCTGTATTTTTGCTTCCTTAGGTAATAGCCGTCGGAGATAATTCATCGACCCACCTTATCGATTTTTAGACTTTGAAAAAATATTTAGAGATTACCCATATCATCCATGTCTAAAGAAAACTTTTGAGGTAGTAGACATTACATGATAGTCCCCCCCTAAATGCTCAGGGTTCTAACCCATTACCGCCGCAATGATGAAACTATGTCTTATCATTTTTAACTAGTTTAACTTCTATCATCATTTTTTAGACTTCAAAAAGAGATTTAGAGAATGCTCATATCATCCATGTCCAAGGTCAATCTTTCAGGCTGTAGATATCACACAATAATCATCTCAAATGTCTATAATTCTAATACATCATCGTTGTGATGCTAGAATTCTATCTTTACTTATTTTAAACTAGTTTATTTTAAAATAAATAATATTTTACTTTATTTTAAGTTTCAAAACTATTCTTTAGTCAATTAAAATTCTTATTTATGTAATAATCATCATTCTTTGGGTACTAACATCATCTTGATGCCAGTACCTGAAATTTTTCTTTTTCATGAATTTTCAAATAGATTTTATTTTCAAAATTTAGTCTAAAAACATAAGAAATCATATTCTTTTCATAAAATTATAAAATTTTACCTGATATTAGTTTACATCCATGTGATTGATCTGAAAATTATTCACTATTTTTTAAACTTTTATTAAATCATAATTAATATATTTATTCATAAATACTTTTAAATATCTAAAAATTAGTATTTTCTAATTTTATAAATATTTAATTTACATGATTTAATATGCAATGACTGAGTCATATCATATACCTACAAGCTTAAAGATCTGAGCCTATGTATGACCAAAGGTTAAAAGCATATATTCTAAATAGTAACTCATTAGTAAAATATGTGAACTAAATACAAACTAAACTATTTCTTCTTAACAAAATCTTAAAAGAGAAACTATTTGTCGATCAAGTAAAAATTTTCAGATAAGATATCGCAAACAACTATCACTAGAAATAAAAGGTTAGAAGTGAAAAGTAATTGCATGTCATCAAAACATCCTTGAAGTAATGGTAAGATATTTAAATTAATCAGACTATTCTTTTATATTGATATAACATAAATCCATTAGAATATAAATACAAGAAGCTAAGAACAAATGAAGCTAATGCTAAACAAAGAAATCTTCAACCACGTCACTCAAAAAAATAAGAGAAGCTATCATACTCAATCTTTTACAATAAAAAGATCATGCATTTCAAAGAAGAAATCAAATTATCATCATTATTGATCATCTACAACAACAAACGAATCAAACTATTACATTGAAGACTGTTTTTTGCCATTAGGCCCTAAGGTAACCTAAGTGGTGAGTGGAGAAAAAATAAGACTAAGGCATGAGATGTTGAGAGCCAGATTCTACTTATGGAGGGTGTTGTTATCTGATAAGAAGTGTAACTAAACTTAAGTATGTGGTGCTATATTTTGGAAAAGCTTTGCCCTTGAAGTGAGCTATATTTTTGTTGAATATAGTAGAAATCTAGAAGGGAGATCCTCCAACACTAAACGTAATTTAGAGAAGAGTGAACCACATGGCAGGGAACAAAATCTATGTCACCATCATTATCAAAAGTAAAAGAAAGAGAAACCAATGTGACCATGTGGCAACAATATGAGCCTTTGGTTGAGTCACATATAAAGTTCATAGATAGTGTTAAAACTTGTCATGACACATTTACATACATATAAAAAATAAAAGAAACTAATTTACCCCCCTTCCCCCTTCTTGCTACTTCACTTAGTCACACTAACAAAACTAGCATGTGTCATATAAATCTTCTCTACATTAGATAGAGAATGAAAAGAGAAGTAAACTTAGTTAATGCTTGCAAAAACTAGGAGTTATAGATGACATGTAGTGAGCCCTACATCATTACTTCTTTTAGTGTAATGGGCCAAGGCCATTGGAAGATTACTAACTTTAGAAGATGGTTGAGAACCATCGCCAAATGAAAACAAATAGATAGCATGTAGGTGGTCAGCAGAGTCCTCTACTCCATGGACACAAGAAGACAATTGAGATAGATATTGTTGGATTTGAGATATAATACCCTCGATATGATGGAAACAATGCTCCATGAGAGAAAAGCATTTATCAATGCAAGTTTCTATTTGGAATGCAACAGAACTAGTCTCAAAGTTCATCTTGATTCTTTTTTACTCCTTTGACTCGTGAATTGACTTATCATGGCACCATATGAGAAGATATAGGATGAGATAAGGTCGAAATATTATGATATCAAATTGGTAAGACCTTGTGTGAATAGTGGAGATAATGATAAGACAGAGAGAGAGAGAGAGATAAAAAGAGATATAAAGAGAAGAGAGAGGGAGAGAACATTAGTTGTCACTATGAAAAGAATATGAATATACTAAAAAGACACTCTACTAGCTATAATACCAATACAAGTGCTAATGCAGTTACCCAGACTCTCCTTTGACCTCTTCCTTGAGAAGGGACAAGAGATATCAGTATATGGTACAACTTAATTAAAACAAAGAGAGAGAGAGAGAGAGAGAGAGAGAGAGAGAGAAGAAAAGAGACTCAATAAATAGTGATATAGAACTTGATAGATAGTGAGAGAGAAATGAAACATTACTAGAGAGATAAAGGAACGGAGTATCATTCAAGAAAATGATATGTTGGCAAAAAAAAGATAATACTCTTGGGAAGTCTTTGAGTGGTCTTTCACTCCTTAATTTTTCCTACCTCCTTTCCTATTCATTGAATCTCTTAGGTAACTAACTCTTCATGGTTGTTACAATCATGCATCATAGTAGGAGTGCACCAGGTGACCAGCCCCTCATCATGGGTTTCGCATGAGGGCCACACCCTCGCTTCACACGTGCGTACATGTCTCGCCATGAAGGTAGATCGATTATGGAGTTAGATTATAGGGTTCAGATTAGAAAGAGCTTCCCGTTATGGGCTTCTTTTTAATGGACCGTACTTCGAATAAATAGGCCAGGTACGTGCTGGGCTGATAACTGCACACGTGTCTGTTTCCCGTCTCTAGCCGATGAAGTTGGTCATTTAATGACAATGTTTTGATGAATGGGTGTCCTCCAGACCAAGCCGGATGTCACCTCGCAAGTCCGGGCCCACCCAGAGATAAGCCCAAGAAACTTAGACAGACCTCAAAATCCCCACGCCAGGATGAGAGAGAGAGAGAGAGATGGTCCAGAATGTGGACTTTCTTAGCCCATTGACTTCATTGATTTTTGAAAAATTGGAAGATAACCCACGGCGCGGTAGTCTAGGTAGTGAGGACTCCGAAAACGGCTAAACGGCGATCCTCCACCGACCTATCCTCATAAACTACGGGTTATATCGTAGCAGGAGAATAAAGGGTTGGTCGTGTCAAACAGGGAGAGAGCTGCCGGCTTCTCTCTCTTCCCTCAAGCGAAGAAGAAATGAGATCCCCCACGACAATCTCTTAGCAGGGAATTCGTCCAAGCGACGGCGGAGACCGCTGAGCTGTCTCCACGCCTGAAGGATAACTCTCTCCGGATCAACACGGCGTTTGCGTTGACATCAACTCACACAAAACGAAGGGGCGAGGCCGAGTCGACCCTCGCTGTTCGTCGTCCCTGGGTTGTCCAAGGACTTCACGTGGGAAGGTGGACTCAACCAGGACAATACGACGGAGAAAAAGAGGAGAGGAAGTTTTGAGAAGAGAGAGAGACTACTAGATTCTCATCAATGTTCTCCAGATCCCGTTAACACTCGCCAGAGGAGAGAGAGAGAGAAGAAGAAGAAGAGGATCTGTGTCGTTGGTGCAAATTTTCTCACATTTTCCTCGAGTACCTCGCCTGCCCGTTATTGCGTCAGTTTTTAGTTCTGAATCACTTCTTCATCGCGATATTTTCTCGACCGCGTGAAACCCAATAGATGTAGGCAAAATCAGGCTTTTAATGCTCATCAAGTACGCCGGACTTTGGTACTTGGGGCTGGAGATTCATGTCTATATGCGGATGAACAGGAAATTTTATTTTATATGAATAAAATATGCAAAAACGGAATCTTATTGAGTAGGGGTATTATATTTGTTGGTAAAATAGCAATGGCCACAGATGCCTCTGTAAATCCAGAAATTTCAACGTGTGAATATCCGATAAAATTTATGAAGTTTCAACTCCTGTCATTGCGCTGATAAATGTGATATATCGACTAACTTAGGAAACCATGGTTGAGCGATCGCGTGGAAATTCTCCGCGACTTAGAGTCGGGACGATCTCTAACGCCACCGGCGGTTCAAGTCGCATTCAGTGGATCCCAATAGAGATAAGGTGACGGTAGGTTTTCTTCGCTCGAGACGACGTATGTGGATGTACGGAGACGAGAGATCCACGTACACAGGAAGAGAGAGATAGATAGAAAGATAGATAGATAGATAGAGAGAGAGAGAGAGAGAGAGAGAGAGAGAAGGGTTGGACGGCTGGGCCCGCTGACGTCCCTGAAGGCCCGAAAGATGGGGAGACGATCGGAGGGAGGAGGGGACGACGAGAGATCCCTAACTTGTCAAAATCATTCAAAAGTGGTTGGTGAGTGGGGAGGGGCGGGGATGATCGCCGGAGGACTTGGGCTCCCGGGTGAGAATATCCCATGCGCCGAAGGGGACGTGCGCAGAACCACCGTACAGACTGTGGAGGGTTCTATCTCAGGGAAAGGGCCAACCCAGAGGCTGATGGGAAGATAGTGTTCCACCCTCGATGTCACCGTCCATCTCAAGTCCTGCCAATAATGGTGGTCTTACTCCGAAAGAAAGAGGTCCAGAGAGGGGAATCGGTGCCAACTTGAGGCATGAAGACGTCCAGATGCAGAGAGCTGTGCGCCGTCTGGAGTGCCGCAGGCCGCAAGGTCATCTTTTTTTTATTTTTTCTTTGAATTCTGATCTCTCCAGACGCACGCAAGGCCTTCCGCCGCAGACTGTCCTTGCGTGCGGCGGCGGAAGGCCGAGGATACCTTCACGAGAGTTAATCAAAGCCGCACGAAAGCTACAGCGCCCACGACTGCCGGGGAGCAGTTTCGGCAACATCAGATTGACTATCTTCATCTAAATTATTCTTTAGATGGATAAGCTTCATATTAAGCCGAAGAAAGTCAGACGATGTCGCAAGGATTAGGAAACCAAATGCGTGGAGATACCCTTCGACGATTCCCCCAAGTGAAAACGCGAAGACCAGTCACACCGAACTTGTCGTAGAAGTAGCTATTGACTTGACATGGAGCGCCGACGTGGCGGACGAAGAAAGGTGGATGGGACGCCGAAGACTTCTGTGGTAGATGACGCCACCGCATCGCAGCCGCAGGAGATGGAAAGATGTGTGCTTTAGACGACTCTTCCCACCCCCCTAGAAATCCCATTACTTTCCTCAAGTCTTCCTGCTCGTCCTCTATAAATCCTAGGAATCCTTCCACCTCGTGGAGCTGTTTCAGGGTCCCAGAATATCCTTGTTTATATCGTTCGAGGGCGAAAATGGAGGATTTCCAGGAGGCTGACGTGCTGTGGCCGGAGGATCCCCAACTCCGACCCTCCTCCAGCGCCCAGCCCCTCGCTTCGTGCGACTCGAATTGGAATGGTGCTGAGAAGACCAACCCCATCGATATTCCTCATGGAGGATCCGCAAGGATCCACCGCTCCTGGAAGCTGGATTTCTCCAATCGAGAAGGAGAAGGCGGCAATCGCGGAAGCGACGGCGGCCGCGAGGAACGCGTGTCCGGCGGACGCAAGAAGATGGTGCCGCCTCATCTTTTAGTGGCCCGGCGATTCAGCGGGAAGATGGCCTCCTCCGTTTGCTCCGGGCAGGGGAGGACCCTTAAGGGTCGTGATCTCAGCCAATTCAGGAATTCGATTCTCCGACTCACAGGCTTCCTCGAGGGATGACACCACTCTCTGGCGCTAGATCATGAAGGAGTCATTTATTTAGTAATGCATGAACAAATAACACGAACCCAGAACTTTTCTTCGTGAGTTGTGACTATTCAATCCAAGCCACCCCCCATTTTACTTTTCCCCTTCCCTTCCTGTTTCCCCGTGTGGTGTTACCCTAACTCGTCCGGGGAAGAACAAGAAGAAGATGTGGGAACCATTTTTTTCCTTCTTCTTAACAACTTGGTGATGGCTCTCCAACAACACCCTGATTAGCATGTGTTCCAAATTAATTAATGCACTGATGGACAATCTATTGTTTTTCCTGTTTTTTAGTCATCAAGCTGACTATCTAGTGAATATCCTTGCACTCTTATTTCGTCGGCGGCTTGTAAATGCTGAAGATGCTGATTCGTACCTTTCGTGGCGCTTGCCTTGCTTGTAGAGATCTCCAACCTCGAGCCCTCATCCACGGGGGTGTTATTCAGAGAAGATGTGGGATGTGACCAACTGGGGAAGACTTCATCAACACGGCACAGGGAGGAGGGGAGAGAGAGAGAGAGAGAGAGTCATGCACGAAAACGCTGGGTTATTAACAGCTTGGCTTGAGCTTCATCTCTAATTTCAGTCCACAAAACCAGAGAAGATAACTCCGATGAAAAGAAGATAACTCACGCGTGTACGTCACGTGCAGTGAAGAGACGCGTCGGTAGGCGGCGCACGAGAATGCGAGGCTTGCGGTACACAGTAAGAGAGGAAGCTAAACCGGATAATTACGCGTCGGCGCCAGCTGTTCATGCTCTTGGATTGACCTTCTCGTCCTTCAAAACATCTCCCGACGCGGAAAGTTGATGTTAACATCTCTGTCTGCCTTAATCATCGCATGTTTGACAAATTAGCGTCATATGTGTGGCCATTTTTCATGAATTTTGTCCTGTGTGTACACGTTATCATAATTATCAATGATTTAAGTATATAAGTAGAGTGTTGATCTCTGAGGCAAGTGAGAAACCCCGCTCACAATGACCAATCACTGGGGAACTCAACTCTCTCTCTCTCTCTCGCTAGAAAGAGTGAACAAAATTAGGACGTACCACAACATCGACTGTAGAGAGATAAAACGCCCAAATTGGCTAAGCATAAGCCTTATATAAGCTGGGTCTGTGTTTCGATGGGATCCAATCTATAGCGCAATGATCCATTTTTCTTATCAAGCTAAGGATCTGACAATCGACTACTGTGGCGGCGAGAGGCCTCTGAACCCAGCGAAGGCTCGGGAAGATCCGACTCCTGGCTGGGTTGTTGACGCCCCCATCTAATGTCGAAACTCCGATAAAATACAAGTACTAAATTTTTTCTCTGCTGCACATTTAATTTTTTATCATCAAGTTCGCTATTTGACTCTTAAATATGCACGAGCGCATGAATGACGGGTCATCAAGCCCAACACGACCGCTGGAAGCCCGTCTGATGGACGGCGGGGGGGGGGGGGACAGAGAGAGAGTAAGCAGAGCTTGGCTTAACCAGCCTAACCAGGTAGGCATCAGACTAGTGAAAGGCCCATCTTGATCTGGCCGCCCCCACCCCGCAGGAGATCCTTCCGCCGGCAAGATCAAGCCACTCATGCAAGAACAGGTGACAAACGGCATGGGTCACGTGAGATGCCAGATTCTCAGGGTCAAACCGGAGTCCGGCTTACGCGCATCAGCGCACGTGTTGATGTGGTAGCATTTCAAAATATAATCACGACTTGAACTATAGGACATTAAATACCAGTCAGTCCACATAAGTCGTTTCCCTCGTCAATGAAAGCTAACCTTCCGCCGCCAAAATAAAAAGGAAAAAAAAAAGAAAAAAGAAGCCCCTCACAGCCGATAAATATTTGGCCACTGACTTAGAAGGTCTCAAGTTTTTGGGCCCAGAAACGTTATTCAAGAGTTTTATCTGGGTTATCCACCGAGGCCCAAACGGCCCAATCACGGGCCCCTAGGCTATTTTTGAAGCGAGTCAAAATAACGCGCTTCAAATACCATCTGACAGAATTAATATATATTCTGACGGGAATACATTTATGGTCACATCGGGAGACCTTGACTGGGATATGACGTCAGCAATTTACATGAGCAGAATGTCCATGCAATTCACAACTATATTGATATAGATGTAGATATATAAATGTATGTATAGGTGGTGCCATGCGCAGCCGATCCCATCTTCAACGAGGAAAACGATTATTCGAGGTCGCTAGACCAGAGACTGAAGGCCGGTCCCTCTTCCCTCTGCCCGAGCTCCTCCCGCCTGTTGCCCAAAAAAGGAAGGAATACCATCCGTAACCGACCTTGAGAGAGGATGACAGAGCTTCTTCTCCCTCTTCTTCTTCTCTCTGCCGGTTGGACTCACTCGACGCCTGCGCAGCTCTTCACGAGCTCGTTCGAGTAGTCCACATGCTCTTCCCAGAGATTTCTCAGCTCTGGGAACCCAACTGCCAGCCATGGCTTCGCAGGGCCGCTGAAATGGAGGACGGCAGCGGATGGCAGAGATTCTCCCGCCGGTCGCCGGAGTCCCAGCCCCCAGAGATGCCAGGACGGGTCGATGGGGTGCGTGTGGCCCTCGAAGGCGATTAATGCCGGCGGCGCTGTTCCAGCTTCCCACAGCAGGAACCCTGATTCAAGATTCTGCGAGACGGGCAACAAGGAGGGGGGGGTGGGTTACAGGAGATGATCATAGCGAGAGAGAGAGAGAGAGAGAGAGAGAGAGAGAGAGAGAGAGAGAGAGCATACGAGCTTAAGCCAGTGCTGATATGCTTTGCTGATGTTGGTCTGTCTCCATGCTTTCAGATCGAAGACATTGATGCCGCCGATCCAAGCACATTCATGTCGATCAAATTGGGTCGAGATTTCTGTTCTTGAGAAATTCAGATAATCTCCAAATGTGTCGCCAACGCAACTGTCCCCATTGCCCTTCACGGTGCTGACTGCACCGTTTACTTTCCCTTGGAGATCAAGATACCAAAGTGGAGATAAGTCACGGCAGACCACAGTGTCGTCGTGCAGAAAGATTACCTTATCAAGCCCCGGAAATAGCTGTCGAAGATTAACAACTATCAGTGCATATAAGTTGAGAATTTGTTGTGGGTATCTTCGAGATTGGTTCACCTACCTCCGGAAGATGGATCCTGAGGTAAGTCAAGATCGACTGAGGGCTTGAAGAGAGGGCTTCAATTCTCCGGTCGTCTCTGGCATGGTAGACGTGCTCCCATGTTGTTTGATGGAGTTTTACCGTCTCCAAGACGGCCAAACCGACATGCGAGGGCCAATCAAACTGGTGCAGGCCCTTCACCACCACGACTGCTGGGAAAACGGGGTTGAGGGCGAACCAGGAGTGCATTGAGGCGTACGTCTTCTTATCCGTGACGATGTGGAAGACGAGATCCTCAGGGTTGGCAGACCTCTTAACAGTGGAGGAGACCACCACAGAAGCTGCAAGGACATTGTCTGTGAGGACGGCAATGTGGACCAAGGATTGGTTGTCGAGGCGAGAGACATATTCGGGAGGCGGCAGGGGAGACCGAGCCAAGGCATTGATATAGTATTCCTCTTTGAGTCTCAGGCTCAGACAATGCATGCTCTTTGGGATTCCATCTGATGCCAAGCGCCAGAAGACTGATTCCTGAAGTCTCGCCAATTGGACCTTGTGATCCATCTTCAGAAGCTGGTTTGGAGGTCGGTTCAACCCATCTTGTCAGCTTAGACGAATAAAATCAACACTAAGGACACCAGAATACGTCCTAACATCCAGAACTGCAACGCTTAAGACATTTAAAATCTTCGGTCAAATAGTACAAAGCGAGGATGTTTCGGCTCGTGGGATTGAAGATGTCCGATAGAAATAACTATTAAATGTTCCCAATTCGAGCGTCTTCCAGTGGTTTGGAAAGGAAAGGAGTAAGACGCAGCAAATATACCAAAATGCAACTTCGAATGAAGGTCAATGGAAGAAGAAGAAGAAGAAATGGCCATCACCGTGGCTTTAGTCTTTAAAGCAAATGTCTTGATGTCCTGATCGGGATGGGAGAACGAGTCAGCGACTAGACCACTGAAGGACTCTGGTGCAGCTTCGACCAGGTTCATCTCCACATCCGCCCCTTCTGCTTCTAGGAAGACTAGCTTCAACGCGTTGGTCAGCTCCTGCATCAATGGAAAGTTAATACACGTATCCATGAGATGGACGATCACTATTTTGGTTTAACGGGAAGAGGAAGACCATCTTCGTCGGCAGGCCAACAACTGGCATCTACACCAGAAACAATAGGTCATGGTTGGCAGGAGCCTACTGCGTTTTTCTTTTCCTCCAATCAATAAAACATTAGAACAAGGACTAGGGACAGATATTTGCCATCTCCCTAATCATCCATTAAATGACAAAGTTCTCCATCGCATTCCATTAAAGATATCATGTGCCCCCAAACAACAGCCGCATCATCTCCCTCCGTGACCTCGGAGTCCCTCAACCTTCTTCATTGTTGCCCCGTGACCTCTGGGTAACTTTGCTCCTGTGTACTACATTTGAGAAAATATCTGATGGCCCCCGGTGGATTCATTGGGGGGGGGGGGGATAGTTTCTGTTCACAGTTTGGGAGAGTCAACGGCAATGGTGAGATCGATTAAATGACCCCGCCGTATCAGTTCCGTCCTATCTTATATTGTTCTGGTAGAAGCAGAGGAAAAGGAAGCCCGATCTCAAGGGACAAGACATGGCAGTTCTGCGGATCGGCGTTACGCGCCAGGGAAGAGATAATTCCGCGGAGACCAAGTAGAGTCACAAAACCCAGAGCTGCAGGGTGATACAGTCTCTGTTCGCAGATAAGAGCTGGGACGTTTCTTCGAACGAAAGGAAAAAGACGCGTCTGTGGACCTGTGGTGATGCATAATTTGGGAAGCAAAGCGGAAGAGAGATGAGTGTTTCTTTACTACTTACCCTTGAATTTCTGCGGCCGAAGAATCCCCATCCCGAGGGATCTAAGAAAACAATCAGAGGAAGAAGAAGTCAATGTCATAATAAGAGATTTGGAATCAAAGTACTGCCTGCAGATGATATATATCGAAGAGGACGAAGAAGAAGAGTCAGGACTGCCTACTGATGGAACAGCAAATGGCGGCGCCATCCATGGCGAGGAAAGACGCCCTGGTGAATAGCAACGGCAGGAGGGCCCCCAGGACGACGATAGCCAGGAGGACCGATTGGTACGAGAACCAACGGTGCTGGAGGTACTGGCGCTGCCGCGGGGTTTTGGCAGTCGATCCCCTCGCTCCCCGGGAAGACGCTCCAACTCTCCTCCCCAATGCACACAGCCACATCTCCTCCCTACAGTATCTCCCTCGCCTTCTTCGCCGCAACAAGCACCTAACGGGCGCCCATTCCCTGGTGCCGGAGAGGCGGACCGAAGAACTGACGCCTCCTCTTTCTCCAGATCGGGATCATCGCGCGCAGACCCTGAGGGACCTCTCCTCCCACCGACGTAGGCAGTAATCCCAACCTCGGATCCGAGGCCTCACCTCCAATTTACGCGACCTCCAAGCGCCAATGGCGGCAAGGCGGGGAGAAAACGGGAATCGGCGAAGGACCCCGTGGCGACGGGAAGGGGACAAAACCTCGGGGCAGGGGCGGAAAATGACAGAGCCGATCGAGAGTGCTTGCAGAAGGTGCTGCCACTGTAGTCTGTATGTCCAGCCAGAGAAGTTGAAGTACGATTCCTCCCGTCCCGATCAGCAGACTAAACGTACGCCATCACCTCCTCCTGGCGACGGAGAGCCCTCTCCTCCTCCATTGCTCCCCTCAGCTCTTCCTCCTCTGCGTCGCTCCATGCTTGAGCATTCCATGTCGAATAAGGAATTGGATGAGAAGTACCTTTTATGCCCTCCGTCGGTGGTCTATTCACCGGCGATGCCCTGGTCACCGACAGAGGGATCGTGCGCGTGATGGGGCCCACTTGAGGGGCAGATCCAGGTGGGCTTGGGGTTCGGGCCGCAGCTTTTGGGCCGGGCCATCTTTCAGGATTTGTTTCGGGGGCATTCTATGCTTTACAATTTAACCAAAAAAGAAAAAAAACCTACCCACAAGTTTTCTTAAGAATATAAAAATTCTCATCGAAATCTTCATGGGAATCTAATTGTAGAGGGTGAGAGAGAGAGTCATGGCGATTCTTCCAATAAATTAGTTAATTCGAACTTGAAATATAAGAGAGTAAATCAATATTAGGAGTCTAAGTTGAGTTTGTATTTATAATTAATTTATTTTACATTAATGATAGGGCGTTTCAATGGGCCAGGCCTCGACCTCGACAGGGGTAGTAGACCAGCGCAAAAGTCCAGAGCCCATTACACGACATACATCCTCCTAAAATCACGTCTCTCTCTCTCTCTCTCTGTCCCCTTCCTCCTCAATAGATTTATAATTAAATTTTATTTTAATTTACAGAGGAAGCAATGGTCCTGGCCTTAGCGTGAACGTGGGAAGGACCTGGCCCAGAACTTTATGGCCCATTAAGCCCTGCATACGTTCCCAAGATCATCACACATCTCTCTCTCTCTCTCTCTCAATCGATTTACGATCTTAATTTGCATTAATTCAAAAGGGAGCCGAGGGGCAGCGTGCGCTAGTAAGTATTCTTCTGATAGTTTAATGAGAAAAATGAGCCAGATTGTTATCGACGCGTCAGCGAGAGGTTTTGACCTGTGCCAGCAACTGGAATAGATCCCGGCTACCTAACCCTCGCTTTCCTTCGCCAGCGGCGATAGCGAGAGCCGCAGTGAAGCTTTCAAGGCCGGCAGCTATGGCGTCCCCTCAGGCGCACAAATTGCCAAGACGCCTACGAAATCCAGCTATCAGCGGTGGATTAAGAAAGGGGGTGTCGGTTGGGGCGTCTACCTCCGCCACCGACGGCCCGGTTTTGCGGCGGCACAGGGAGACCTGACCACGTGTACGGCAAGGGGGCAGGGTGAAAGGAGAAGTGAGAAAATGGCCGCCATGGGGGAAAGAAGAAGTGAGAAAGAATCCATCCGTGAATATAGGCGCTATATAGGAGAAGGAAAAACATAAATGGGAGGAGAACCTGGAAGGAGGAGCTCGGCATGGCGGTCGGCTATTCCGGCTAAGAATAATAAGTCCTGGGTTGTCTTAGCAAAGCGGAAGAAGGGGGTGGTTTCATTTTTTCACTGCGCCGCACCGCCTGACTTGTTACTGTTGGGCTCAAAGACGAAGCGCAGTAGCGACTCCTTGATGGGCAGCAACTCGGGGAACTCGGTCTTCAACTTGGAGGCGTCCAATTCATTGTTGCTTCGAGGCGCGACGATGACCTTGGCCTGCTCCTCCAGGGTGAAGTTGGACCAGGTGAAGTCCGGATCGATGTAGGTTTTGTACATCTCCAGAATCTCGTTGTGGCTCACGACGCCGGGGTTTGTGAAGTTCCAGATGCCCCGGCAGTTCCTCTTAGCCATCTCCACCGAAATGGGAAGGAGCTCGTCCAGGACCGTCATGCTGTTCGGGATGTTCACCACCTTGCTGTAGCGAGAAATCTTTGTGATGAAATTGCGCGGATTGGAGAGGTCGGATGAGATGGGCATTCGGACTCTGAGAGTGCAGACGTTGTCGTATTCTTTTAAGAGCTCCTCAACCTGTTTTGGTTGTCAATAAAAATAAGACAAATTGGTCAGAGGATGGAAACTTCGAGGGTGCAGAAAGAAGCGAGAAGGAGATTAGATACGCTTGAGCAGAGAGTACGAGAATATTAGTTAATTAATTAATTAATTACCATGGCCTTGGTTTTTGAATAGAACGAGCCGACGAAATTAGGCTTGTCCTCTTCTTTGAATCCTTTCCCGAAGCCCTCAGGGTGCTCGGCATCGTACTCAAATATACACCCAGTGGCAAAGTTCATCATCAACAGCCCATTTTCCCTGCAAACATCAGCCAGAGTCAAAGTACCTGCGACATTAGCGCGGATCGTCTCTGGCTTGTGGGACTCGCACCAATCAACATTAGGCCTCCCAGTAACTCCGGCAGCATTGAAAACATGGGTCGGCTTAATGTTCTGAATATCGGCCAACAACGAGGCTCGGTCTTCCAAACGCCCTTTACCATATTCAAATGGGATCCCTTGCTTCTCGCAAATCTTCCCAAGGAGGCCACCGATCCATCCAGTCCTTCCATAAATCAAAAACTTGAAGGATGGCTTACGAGGAATACTGTTGCTCTTGGAAATGGGAACAACCATTCTTTTCTGCCCTTGGTCACCATTGGCTAGAGAAAATATACCTTGTGCTTCGTCAGTTCCATCGAACTGCCTTTCTATCCCTGGCATCATCAGCATCCTGGGGTGTGGCAACAGAGCTCCAGAGACATCACCCCACCAATCAGGATTCTTTGTGTACCATTCCATTGTCAATTTCAGTCCCTCTTTCCAAGACGTGCGTTCTGACCACCCCAAGTTCTTCAGCTTTTGGTCATCCAGAAAGTACCTCTGGTCATTAAAAGGCCTGTTCTCCACAAACTTGATGACAGACTCGGGATCAGAATTGAAAAGGTTACAGATATCCTTTGCAACGTCGATCACCCTTCTCTCCTTTTTAGTCCCAATGTTATATACATGCCCAACTTCTCCTCGGTGAAGAACAACTTCAAAAGCCTCAGCCACGTCCTCACAGTAGAGATAGCTCCTCACATTTGAGCCATCCCCATGAATGGGAAGGGGCATTCCTTTCATGGCCAGCAGGATAAACTTTGGAATGAGTTTCTCAGGGAATTGATTCGGTCCGTAGACATTGTTACCTCGGGTGGTTATGACAGGCAGACCATATGACCTTCCATAAGCCATAACAAGCATCTCGGCCCCAGCTTTCGTAGCAGAGTACGGATTTGTAGGGAGAAGCTGGGATGCCTCATGATTACCAACCACCGCATCCTCATCTGTCTCTCCATAGACCTCATCGGTGCTAACATGGATAAACCTTTTGATCTGGCCAGTGACTTTGCAGGCCTCGAGGAGAACATGGGTACCATAAATGTTGTTCTTTGTGAATTCAAAGGAATTGCCAAAGGAGTTATCCACATGAGTTTGTGCAGCAAAGTGCATGATGGTATCGATAGACTCAGTTATGAGGAGGTAATTGACAAGGTCAGCACTTGCTATGTCACCCTTGACAAACTTGAATTTTGGAGAGGAGCGAGAAGGAAGAAGGTTCTTCAGATTTGAGCAGTAATCAAGTTTGTCCAGAACAACAATCTTATACTCTGGATAGTTCCGTACTAGGCGGTTGGCCACATGAGATGCAATGAAACCAGCTGCACCAGTGATCAGGATATTTTTCGGTGTGTATGCCATCTTCTCCATGCCCTGAAAACAAAAAAAATCCGAAATATTCGAAAAGTGAATTAGGGGAAAAAATTGAATGAAAGCTAAAATAGGTTCTGAAAAAGACCAAGAATCCAAAATTCAACGATACAATCCTTACGATTTGATATGGTCGTCTAAGAAACAGTAATTGAACTTTCATCTTGCCTTACAGAGATTATTTAAAAGATACTAAAATCATTTTAGTAAAAAATTTTAGGGGCGATTTTCATAAATTAAAAGCTTTGAATACTCTCCTGGTATTCTCCGAATGATAAAGATTGTATTTCCTTCAATCAGAAAGGGTCAAAAATCTACACAAGTCAAGCTTGGAAAAATAATTCGGTTGAAAAACTAGCAGTTGCTTCAGAAAGAATACAAACAGCATCAACACGTAATTGGTGATCGAGCGAGGAGAAACTTTTCACTTGAAGTCTGCTGGGGAAGCAATAAGACGAATATAATCTGGTCAAGAAAACATGTCTTACTGGCCACAACCAGACAATCATGAAGCCCGGAAACGCGCTTAAGATAATTGGAAGAATTTATAATACTAAATAATCAAACAAATAGGACGAAACGTCAACACCAATTTTTAACTGTTTCAAATAACGTCCGGAGAAACTCCTGCGATAATGAAATAAATTAACAAGGACTGAATTCAGATCTATGCATGACCAACGAAAAGAAAAAAAATATTCATAAATCAAGTTATGTGTTCCACATATCCGAATCGGATAAAAAAGATGATTTCCTGAAGATCGGCTTCGTGGCAGCCGCCCGAATAGAAGCAGTTAAGCAAATGCAAATGCTCAAACCATGACAGGAACTGATCCGATCAAAATCAGATAGAAAACAGAGTGAGGGAGGGAGAGAGAGAGAGGGAGAGGAAGGGACGTGGTGTCCCATGATTCCGAATACTCTTCATCATTTCGCCTCAGGCATAAGCCGATCGCATGCAGAATGAATCTACTGAGATCTTGAAAATAAATCCTCAAAAAACTCCGAAAAGAAGCAAAAAAGAAGCAGGGCGAACCAGATAACGCCCACTGCCCTGATCTGATAAAAAAATGTAGAAAGAGAACGATAATTGTACAGAAAGTGGTATTTCTAGATTCCCCCACGCATCACCGACACAGCATTCCGGTTGCTGGAGACAGATGTGATGGATCCTCCTCCAGATCTAGCGATCACCAGCGATACGGAGCTGGGGGGGGGGGGAATCAAACTCAAACGAACACACGAAGACGGAAGAAATGCACGACAAATGGAGCCCCAATTCGCCCAATTTCATGAGGGATCCCGCAGAATTACTTGCTAGCAGTCGCCGGCGGAGAATGGACCAGGCCGGAGCGGAGGTCGGGGGCGGAGCCGATCCTTGCTTGCACACGGGGTAGAGACAAGAGTGCGGGGGAGGGGGTTCGGAGGTATAAGTACTGCAACGGACACCGTTCCTGGCGAATGAGAGTGGCTTACAGGGGCGCACGCGTCTAATTGTAGCCATCCTAGTGCCTTCATTAAAAAATAATTAACCACAGAACTAGGCAATTAACAAGATAATTAAAATATAATATAAATAGAAGGTGTCCGTTAAATGCTGGCGGTGAATACCGCGCGTTTTGACCCGGTCAAAAAAAATTGTCGGTCACGCGGTCGGCCGCCATACGTGCGGATGTTAAATTATTTCCAAGAGTTATCTATTTATGGTATTAACGCCCGATTTTATCTATTTTCACCGCGGAGTGTTACATTATTTATAGCGCCTTGAATGCCCCCTTTTTAATGCTTAGCCAGACGTGGGCCGGGCGAAACTTGTTGTGAAACTAACCCTAATAAAATCACACCCGCCAATTATGCGCAAATATGTGATAGGAAACTAATTAGCATGTGACACCCCCCACCCCCCGGAGAATCATAGAGAATCAACCCTAATGCGGCGTCAGAATTTGATCATTTTGTTTGACGACCTCGTAATTAATTTTCCTATTTATTTTCTAAAATATAAATATATGCGGGGCCGCAGATTTTTATATAGTTTTTTTTAAATACAATATGTAAAAGCCCGCAGAGCTTTATATATATATATTTTAGAAAAATACAATATATACGGCGTGAAGTTGGGCGTCACACCCAATCTCACGCCAGGAAAAAAGGATTTTTTTTTTATTTGGCCCCGAAGCCCAGAAATTAATATCACCGCCCCCTTATATTCCCCCGTAGAAAGTTAATTTTACTTTAATAGGGATTACCGCGAGAGTTAATTAAATAGCTGACGAGTGACGGATTTGGGAGAGCAAACGGCCGGCTGTAGATGCCGATAACGGCGACTGTTTTCAAAAGGAGACCATCTGGGCCGTTACCGTGGGGTTCGACAGGTCAGGCCGGTCCATTACAGTGGCTCCAAACTGTGTGTGGATCGGGGCGAGGAGCATTGGATCCTGAGACGGATAGGGGTGAGGGAGTCCTCCGCAGGTTGGAAGATCTTGATCCTGCCGGGGTTTTTGTCGAATCCTGCGGCGCCTGTGCCTGCATCGCGAAGCAGGTAGCGCACTCTTTCTTTTTCTTTTTCTTTTTATTTTTCTTTTTCTTTTTATTGCGTCGCCTTCGATTTTACTGCCCTCAGCGGAAAAGGAATTCCACTGGGGGACCTTTTCCTCCGCACTGTTCTTCCTTCCAGCCGCAAACCTGTTGTCATGCTTTCCTTCTTCAGCGTCTGTTTTCTTTCTTTCCCTCTTTCCAACGACTATATTCTCGCGCCTCTTGTTGATAATTCGTCCTGCTCAGTTTTCCTGTCGCTGAATCCCGGACAGAGTCTGGTTCTTCTCAGTCTGTGTGAATTACTGTTGTATGACTTCCAGTGGGTCTGCATGTAGAGAGAGATGCGTCGGTCCAGAATCGCGTTGATAGAAGACATTTATATTTGACAAATAGCGTAATAGATTTGAGCGACTCTCGGATTTCTGATTCATTGCTTCTCTATCCAGAGTCCTGAATGTAAACTTCATAATTGAACAATTTCTTCCAAAATGTGGAAGCGGCCACGGAAACAGATCGAGTTGTTCCACGCGCCAAGAATATGTCGCGCAGGCGCTCTAATATTTTCAGTCTCAATCCTGACTATCTTTATTATACTTACCTTCAAGAATAAAAGGGTGTCTATTTACCCTTCTGATTCCCAGCATTTGAAGTGGAACAGCTTCTGGTCCTCTCTCCAGTTCCAGCCCACTGTGGAGTTTGTGAATGGAACCGACATAATATGGCAGATACCAAATTCACCCAAGGCTGTGCTTTTTCTGGCTCACGGTTGCTATGGGCGTGCAGCCAACTTTTGGGACAGGTCCCCGTCATGTCAGAATTGCGTTGGTTTGCCCGAAGAAAGACTTATTGTCCTTCAAGCACTCCATCAGAAATATGCAGTCCTGACTATTTCCAGCGTTGGGTCATGTTGGTCTTTTGGAGATGAGGAAAGACGAGTTCGAAGAATCATCCAGTGGTGGGTTGGGAAACATAAAATTGAGAAACTTCCAATTCTGGCTCTTGGGGCTTCTTCTGGGGGTTATTTTGTTTCAGCAGTGGCTAAAGACATGAAGTTCAGCAGCATCGTACTTATGATTGCCGAAGGACTTTTTGATTCTATGGATGTACCATCCGACTACCCACCCACGCTATTTGTTCACATGCCTAAGGACCGGATTAGAAAGTTGCGGATAAAGCGGAGCATGGAATCACTTAGGAACATGGGTGTTCCTGTTGACGAAGTTGAGTGTAAAGGTTTCCCGTTAACCCCAAAATTCTTATCGGATAGGATCCCCAGTCTGGATGAGACATTTTCTGTTAAATTGTTTGAGCTGTTCCGTGAAAAGGGTTTCATTGACGAGAACAACTATATGAAGAGTGATGGGCGTGCAACTCAGTGGAAGGAAGCTGTCAAAGAAATAGAACCTTCTGCTGATGATCATGAATGGACAGATCATGTTCAGGAAGAGCTGAATCTTGCATTTGGATACCACGAGATGACCAGCCTGCAAATGGAGGATATCATTCGCTGGTTTGAGTCTCACTTGAGCGTCACTTGAGCAGATTGAAAGCCCTGAATGCTTGATTTAGTGAGTTCTCGCATGCTACAGTCATGGATGGCCGCTGAGTTGCATTGTACAAAAAAATTCTATATTCCATTATGTGAAAGGGTATTTAATGGGCCATCATCTGATCTGACCCATTATGTGGATGGTCAAAGATATCAGCTAATTCCATTCAATTAGCTTGCATTTCCGGAGCGATTTTTGTGGGAAGAAGTGCAGACGCTTTTCCAGGAACTGAGAATTTCTCAAATGATAGTAACTCAAGTATACGGCTTCAATCAGCAAGCTGTATTGTTGAATGCGTGATGATATCTTCGATTGGTGGCTTCTCTTTTGTTTTTTAGTACTCGTTGACATGTTTGGCCTTACTATCCTTTTTCAACGTTTTATGAAGAGAATTTCTATAAATAAGAAATATATCTTGCCTTTTGTTTTGGGACTTGGATCATTACTTTTTAAAGGAATGCGGACAACCCAAACTTAGAGAGTCAGTGAAGTCAGAACATTAAGAATCTTGCACGATAGGCTTAGGTCTAGCTATGCTGGGAAACTTGAGGGTCACTTCTTGAGTCTTAAAGCCTTCTCCTTAGAAGCTGTCTTCTCTTCTGCAGCTGTTTCAGAACGGTCTCCGTATTGACATTTAGGTGACTCATGGAGCATTCTCATTTTTTAGGACATTGGTCGCCATGGACCTGCTGTGGTTTTATTGATCCTGGTACCACTCTTTACATCACCCTAACCTGTTTCTGCTACTTGTCAAAATATGCCATATTTTCGCCCAGAACAGTCATCTACAAGAGATGGAGGAAAGCCCTCTTCCTTTACACCGATACTCAAGACCGTGATATGTTGAATAACAGGAAGCCTGGGCCAGCGTGGAACCCTAATCTTGGGAGCCCATCAGGATCGACAACCGGGCCATGACCAAGTTTGAAGCCCCCCCAGGCCTGGTTCTTCGTCTGAGATTCCTGCACTTCGAAAAAAAAAGGGGATGCAGCTCTACACTACCCGGGCAAGATTTTCAATTACCCACAGAAACGTTTTACATTTGCATGCCGTATTGCTGGTAACTCTGTGCAAGCTCAACCAGTTCTTCCCTTTCATCTTTCAAGATATGAGATCCGTCCAGGGCCAATCGTCATTGTTTCTATTCCCTTTCACCTCATTGTTTTACGATATGAAATACTTGAGCCAAATGGCTCTTTTTTCTTTTTCTTCTACGTGTGGGGAAATTTCTTTGATTTTCTGTGTTGTAGGTTGCAAGCCCAGATGTCTACATTCCCCGGCTGCTCCCTCATCGCATCTCATCTTCAGTCTCTGTCCAAGACGAGGGGTTGACGGACTCTGCTCCCCAACACAAGTCTGCGTAGCTAAGTAGCTGAGATCATGATCCCATAGGGGGAGCTCTCAGTAAAATAGGAAGAAACATCCAGCATTGGCTCCGCAGGTTTGAGACTCAAGATTGCGTCGTGATCTTCATCACCTCAGGAAGTCTGAACCGTCCGATGGATCGGATCTTTAATGGATGCGGCAGCCCCACTCGAATCACGGATCCAATTAATGCCGGTCGTCATGACCGCAAAAATCGCTGTCTCCTACCCCGGCACGCCCACCCGTGTTCCCCCGGGAGTTAATGCGGCCTTCGGGGCCACATGAAAAGCTGAGGCGGCAACAGTGCCCGACGAACGCGGCCTATTTGTCGGCCCATTGGGCCCAGCTAACTTTCAGTTTAGACGGCGCCCCCTGGAGTTATATCAACGGGCTTGGCGATGTGAATGAAGAAGGGCACTGCACTTCTGAGGACGCAAACTATCTGAGGGGCGCTTCTACACAAGATTACGACAGGACGCGAGTCACCGGTCGACTCGGGAGTAATATCAATCCAGAGACCGCGACAAGCTCAAACCCTATTTGGGGAAGAAGAAAGAGAAGAGGAAGGCAAAGAGGAGAAGAAAAGAAGCAGAAGTGGAATGGGAGAAACGGAAGAGGGAAACAGGGAGGAGTCCCATGCAGAGGGAAAGCTTAGGGGAAAAGATAAAAAGAGGCTGCCTGGCAAAAGGTTGGACTACTTGAGGCGTCCCTCGTTGGCGCGCTTGAAGACCTGAGCTTGGGTGGCGGCGGCCTGGTCGGAGACGAGAGCGTTGGCGAAGGCGTCTCTCACTTGCGAGGTGCTGAAGGCGAACTTCTGGTTAACGAGGGAGTTGAGGAAGGCCGCTGTGCCCTCGCGGTAGAGGTCGCCGAGGCCGTCGCTGCGGGTGTTCTTTAGGGCGTCTAGCAGGCTAAGGTTAGGCGTTGCCGGCGGGGTCAATCCAAGCATCCTCCCGATCGTGTTCCAGTAGCCGCAGATGGCGAATATCGCTTGAGGGTGCGTCCTCCAGTAGCTACGGGAAGAAACCCACAATGAGCAAAAGATAACGTGCATGATATATATATATATATATATATATATATATAGAGAGAGAGAGAGAGAGAGAGAAGCTTACTCGCACGTGCCGGTGAAGAACGGTGGAAGACCGGGGCTGGGAAGCCACGTCGAGGGGGGCATGGGGATGCCTGGGATGTAGGGAGTTCCTGGGTCGATAGTGACAGGAGGGGTGCCCCCACCGCCGCTTGGTGGGGTGTAGGTGCCGCTTCCGCCGCCGCTTGGGGGAGTGGTAGTCCCAGAGCCGCTGCCGCCGCTGGGTGGTGAGGTGTAGCCGCCACCGCCGCCGCCAGGTGGGGAGGAGTAGCCTCCACCTTTTCCGTGGGAAGGAGTCGGGCAGGATGGCTTCCCCTTGGAAGAAGCTGCATGGTGAGTACACTAGTTAGATAATGTCAATGCCATTACATTAGTGAGATAGATAGATATATATAGAGAGAGAGAGAGAGAGCCCCGCTTACACTTATGAGGCCTAGGAGAGTAAGCCTTGTCGTCTTCGAGGGAACCTAAGTTGCGGCTGCACGCAACATTGTTTACCAACGTCTGGGACAGCAGGACTGCTACCAAAGCCCACAAGAGCAGCTTCGTGCTGCTGTGCCACTCCGCCATGCCCAGAGCTCGAGCGGTTCAGAGAGGGAGGGTGGGGTGCCGAAAGGAAGAAGATAGGCAGGGGAAATAACGCCTCAGAGTGGCAAGTGCAGTCGGCTAGGATTGAGCGCATGTATATATATATACACGGGGAGTGGAAAGCTTTCATTGAAAACCCTGTGCATTGCCATTAATGCTGGCAGGGGAAAGGCAGTATGAGGTTAGTTGTCATGCAGCAGGTGCATTCAAAAGGGTGTTCATAAGACCCTCCGTCCAGCGCATGAAGGAAGCTTAGACATGGCTAAGAGAGACAGAAAGAGAAGCCGCAATGATCCTTCTTCTATAAATCAAGCTTAGATTCATTTCCTTGCTAGTCCCTTTGATGCCAGCTATCCGTAGACCTCCGCCACCTCTTCTCCTGCTGGAAACCCCCCTCTCTATCTATCTATCTCTACATGTGGTGAAGGTCAGTGAGAGAAATGGAGTGTATTGAATTCCTTCATAATTAGCTCATTACTCACCCACAAGACATTTGGCCACCTACCACCCGTCCCCATCACGCGTGTATCTACGAGAGCCCGCTCTCCTCATGGCGCTCCCACTTAAACGGCCATTCCTGGCTCCGCCGCTGCACAGTCTCGCAATTGTGGACTGTCGACGGTCTAACGGCGGTTGTCGAGGAGTCCTCCGAGTACATAGATTTACGACCGCCGGATTGGATTCGCTCCCCGGATGATCATAACCCGATGCCCACTTTGGGAAAGGGCGTCGATCATGGGACGAAGGTCCACTTGTGAGAAATACTCGTCATTAAGATGCGGCCCAGATCAACGGGTAGTCCCCTCGGATGATTAAAAGCGCCAACTTTGACGACACTGATGTATGTTGGTATGAAGACCATTTAAGGAACAATATCCCCTTTTCTTCTGAGAAAAAAAATATCACAGAGGATGTGGCGACGTTGGATTGGAGAGGATCAGTGAAAATTGACCGCATAGATCTACCAGGTGACATGACTTGTGAGACGAATACGCTTCTCCTCCCCGCGATAGAGCCCATTGAAGACAGGGACGAAGGGGACAAGAAGATGAGAGAGGACGAAGCGGTTTGAGGACCGGGGGGTTCCCTGAAGAGGTAACTCCAAAGATTTACGTTGCTGACAAGGTCTCACAGATTTAGGTAGAGATGGCTTCCAAGGCTTTATGAATTAGAATCCAAGCAATACTGTACGACTTCACGGGGGCGCGGGGGGGTATTGAGAGGCCATGGGAGGAGTCTTGTGAGAAGGTCATCTCCCCTACTGCATGTGGGATGATGGAGGCCCCCTCTCCGGATCAACATGTAGGAGCGGAGGGATCTAGCTTCCCCTTATTCGTGGAAAATAGCCTTCGCATTAATGCTCTGCCGGATTAACTGCATCGCGTACGGAAACCGCGTTGGATGCGCAGGAACTGAATTAATTTTTTGCATTTGATGTTAAGCTATATATTTGACCAACTAATTGAGATTCGGCGGGTATTAACGATTAGGAATACGAGGGCCACCCCGTTCCGAGACATTCCGATCGCCTGAGTCCCTTTCAAGTAGTGGATGAGAAGTCTCGGGCCACCATGCTCCGGGCTGGATTCGTTCCTACGAAATAATGTCATTAGCCCGGATAACCCCCTCCCCCGCACAGTCACTACCCTAATGCATGTGGTATATATAACACATACACACATATATGTACATATGTACAGAGAGAGAGAGAGAGAGAGAGAGAGAGGGCCTATAATTATGGTCGTTGTAGAGCCAGGTGCCGATCAAAACGGGGGCTTCATCTGAACTAAGACTTGGGCAGCGATGGCCAACTCAGGATCCGAGTTTATTCGGGTAACGTGGCTCCAAGTGAGGGGGTATAGTTCTTCTGTATTGGAATTTTCACTGTTAATCAAATTTTCCTAATTGAAAAAACAGAAAATATTATCTACGATCAAAATGCCATGGGGTAAGGGGAAGAAGTACAGACGCTGCATGTTTACGACGAAGCCTAGCTTTTACTGGAACAGAAAGCAGCTGGATTGGCCATAGGAAGAAAACAGAAACTCCCATATTCATGAGGGTTCCAGCCTGCGCTTCAACTTCTTAACTCTTTTGTGTGGACCCTCTTGCGCCCCAAAGCTTCCTAAGCTGGACCCATACACGCAATCTTCTTGTTAAATGTTTTTTACCCGTAAAATGCGATTGAGAATTCTAACAGACGTACGTGACATTTAAAAATGTGAGACCTTCATGGCACTCGACCTTCATCACCCAAACACCCTGACTATTCTTGCTCACCGCGGAAGACCACCGACAACCTTATGCTATCAATGTCACACCTATTCATAATCATCTGTTGCCATCAACGCACAATTTCATGTTGTTGACTATCACGACGATCTTCCAACTACCTCATATGGTCACATGAGCTATTAATGCAAATATGTTGATTCTATAATTATGACTTGATGCCAAAAAATAAATATTTTTTTAATATCTCTGATACTTAATTTCATCAGGCAACAAATTTATCTGACGTTGAGACTTCATCCTCGTACTCATTCAATCGTAGCCGTTGGCATCATCTTTACTTGTGAGAAGTAGCAACATGATGGGTCTGGCCTGTGTATGTGCTCGGGGCCAAACATAAGCCCGAAAATGTACCTCGGGCCACACATGTACTGATACCATGTCCAGCCCGATCGTCCCTCTATTCGCCATCGAACAGAGATAAATGAAGTCAGTCAACCATGCGTGTAAAGAAAGACATAGCAGTGAGAATGGACTCTGGGAACATGTCGAGACTCGGGCCGGCTTATTTTCTCGCTCTACATGATTTTGGAAGTCCAGGTAAATTACCGAGTTCGAGTCAGAGTGAACTCTGAACGTACCGACGATTTTAAATTAGTCTGGCAAATGCACCATTTAGTGCACAGTGAAACGATTCGTGCTGACACACTTGACCTCACCAGCCCAAAGATCTCGATGGATGCAGATATGGGAGGTGACATTCTTTCATTCATTACAGTGTCTTGTTCCTTGCTATCACTAAATGCTGCGACAGAGGAGTAGTTGGAGGTCCTTAAAAGCGACCAGCCAGGCTGGTCTTCATGCCGGGGATTTATTTCTGTTATTTCCCGGCCATCGAACGGTGGCGTACAGTCCGCGAGGCCCCATGCACGTATCCAAGTTACATTAATGATGCCCTTTGGCCTGTTGACCGCCGGCCGCTGCCTGCTGGAGAACAGCTGTGTACTCCGCTTACCGTTCCTTCGTCATCTACGACCACTATGTTCCCTTGATGAGGAGGGTTGTTTAGTACGTCTATCTTTATTATTGAGTAGATCTCCTTTTCGCGAGATCTAACGTAGAGTAATGGATCATACGCCGCCAAACATTTCTAAATGACCAGTTAATGAGCTGGTCCAGCAGAATATATATGTACCCAACTAACCGTACATTGCTGGTTGGCCATATAATTCTCTATTTAAGTTCACTAATGTCCGTAATCAGGGGTGACAATGAGATGGTTATGCCCATCAATACCAGATAATGGTCACCGCGGTCTCTAGATTAAGGAGAATATTGGGCACTTTTGTGCTCGATTACTGGGTAGATCTCTCATTAGATCTTGTATAGAATAATGTGGTCATACCTGGCCAATGATTTTTAAAATTGCTTTGTTAATCTACCCTACGAACAATAGTTTTCAGGTATCCAAATTGGCGTTTGTTTGAGAGCACCATAGTGTCCAGATTTAGGGGTGAGAATGAGATGGGGGAATCCACAGCTTGGTCTAAGTTTATTCATTCCGACTAGGGCATCAGGGACAGATGTTTGATTCCCATGACCCCACTGTGGGTGATATGAAGGAAGTTGATGCTCTATTATTGAGTAAAATTACTTTTCATGAGGTGATATGTGTACTCGGTCACAATATCTAAACTAGCCTATTAACCTGCTTTTCCAGCCTGATGATTTTCAAAATATTGATCCAAATGGATGGGCTAAGGCCTATAAGATGGGGTGACAATAAGATGGGTTGATCTAAATTTTGGTTCACTTTATCTTTTCAATTATAGGGAGTAAAAATCAGGCATTGTAAAAAAATACGAGTCTGGCTTATTCTTATTCGAATCAAAGCCTAAGTTTCAATAAAATCTGACCTACAAACTCGAAAGTCTTGTTTTGTTGAGACAAGGAAGAGGGGCTATGCATCTGACGAAGTTCAGACGTCATCTAGGCCTTGACTAAAGCGCAAAAATTGCCATTTTGTCTCTATAGTGCATAGGTTGATAACGTGGGCTCATTCAACTCGAAACCCATTACTACACTTAGCGAGTAAAGTTTATAATATTTTCATAGACTTTGTCTAATGATTAGAAATCAAAGAAAAAATGGGCGGGCAAGGACCAAATTCCCATACACACATCTTGTCGTCGCACTACGGTTCCACCTATCCACAAGCCATTCTGACTACGCCCAGTGAAAAAGTTTCTTATTGGGTCTCAGCCTTGTCAAAGTGAGGGGACAAGGTAACTTGGGATAGTGAGAGTTTCTTCGAGTCAACTTTAGCTGATTCAGGCCGACCCAATCTCTACACGTTGGGCTGCGTTCTGTGGAGCCTAGCTGCCGTCCCGGTCCAGGTTCAGAGAACTACCTCGTCTGGGCCCAGCCCAGTCCAGCTCTTGCCGAACCCAGTCCAGCTCTCCCTCTCCCCAAGCCTACGTGGTATGTGACCAGTGGTTTTCCAGAACGTTGTGAAACCGGGATGCCACGTTGAAAGGGCTGATGCCTTCTATGGGCCGGGCCAGGCCTGGCTCGCGGTCCAATTTATACCAAAAATAAGCTGCCAGGCCCAGCCCACTGATTCGTCATCACCAAGGCCAGTTTGAAATGAGCATTGGACTAGACATTTATGCATTTAAGCCCGAATCCAGCACTGCGACGGTTGCCTAATATCACGCAGGGCTGTCTATCATTCCCCAATATCATCATCTAATTCTGATCCCTGTCTGAAATGGGGTCCCAATATCCCGTCAAAGATGCTCAGAAAATCTGTAGATTCTAAAATATCTCCTTTTGATTAATATTGTTAGAGTTGGAACTCTGAATTCTAGCCAGGATCGTTCAAGTCGAATCTGGCCTGCAAGTTCTTCGACTGCGAGGTGCCCCTGGGGCCGAATCAGATCCGATTACACCTGGGTTCTCTCTTTCTTGTCCGGGGCTCGGCACTGTCCAGCCGTGGCATCTTTCTTTAGTATTGTTTTCCTCCAAAGAGGAAAGGAGGCCAAGCACAAGGAACGCATCTGATACGACGCGAAATCCCCGCAGAATTAACTATTCCCTAGCGCAGGTATTTCTTCATCTGTTCTACTGCACCCCTCGCTCCCCTTCCATCGCGGGGAGGTCCCACTGGACCCTTCTTATGCCGCCCTCGAACGAGGAAGTCTTCGCTATCGAGACGCATCTTCTCTGAAATCAGCGGAAGCCGTCGTCACCACAAATCTAGAGCACCGGAGACGTCGTGATCATCTGGGTTATTCAAAACACCCCCATAAGAGACCCCCATCGCATCCTCTTCCAAGGGCTCTGTCGTCATAAGGCTCATGTTTCTCGCCGGATAGAATCGACAACAGGTTTACCATCTGCGTCGCTCTCAGAAAATTTTAGGGAAGAACGACCGAGGAGACACGTTGATCCTCAGAGTCATCTCGCCGGCGTCGTGATCCAATGCCAGCTGGGCACAAATACGAGTTCCGACATATACTATAAATCGGCAGATTTATGAAGAATAATTGTCTGGACATGACCTCTCTCTCTCTCTCTCTCTCTCGCTCTCTCCAACTAGCATAAAAGAACCTACTCTGGATGGGGATTGACAGGGTGGATTCGCTTAAAGATTTGATCACCATTCGTGTCTCCAAGGAGTTATCCAGGATTTCCATCAGTCATGTACAGTGAATGATCACAATTTTCAAATTTTGAATCAGGCTGGCTGCAGAATAATCGCCTGCTAAGTTAATCATTCGTTACCATATTTCCCTTGATGAGGACGATATGTCAATAGTGTGGCCAAATCAAATGGTCATCGTTTGATCAACGACGAACAGGGTACGGTGTGGCTGTTGTCTCTATTGGGAGGATCTGATAAGGAAATAAATCTTAGTGGAAGAGGCTTGGAAAAGGAAATGGCATAGCTGATAAGGTGTAGGAGGGTTGCCACCTTTCGCAGCGTCACAGGGGGAAGCACCGGATTGATCCTTGACCATAATCACTGGTGGCCGTTGGGTCCCCGGTTCCCCGCCGCTTAACGGATTCTCACGCCGGCGAGGCCCAAACGCGTTCACACACCTTGGCTGGCGCCATTAACACAGGCGGATATGCCGCCTCCGCCCGCCATGTCCATCTCCAGCTCATCAGTCCCTTCGCTCAACGGTACCTTAAGACCATTTTCACCTATATAAGCACCCCCCTGACATTCTTCACACCTAAGACGGGAATCCCTCTCTTTCTCTCTCTAGGATCCCCCCCCCCGCCTGGTCGTCTGCAGTCTCCCCTGCTAGAGAGAGATGGAGAGTAGGGTGTCGATGACGAGCTTCGCGGTTATGGCTGTCGTGATGCTAGCGGCGGGTTCTTCGGAGGGATACGATTTTTACGTGGGGGGGAAAAACGGTTGGGTGCAGAGCCCCTCGGAGAGCTTCAACAGTTGGGCCGAGAGGAACAGATTCCAGGTCAATGACAGCCTTGGTAAGCCGGATCCCCTCCAAAATCCTTATTTTCTGATCGTCATGACGGGAGTTTTGATGTTGTTCCCTTCTCGGTTCGCAGTGTTCAGCTACAAGGGGGGAGAGGACTCGGTGTTGGTTGTGACTGAGGCAGACTACCAGTCGTGCACGACGGCCAATCCGATCGAAAGGCACAACAGCGGCCACACGGTTTTCAAGTTTGGTAGGTCGGGCCCCTCCTTCTTCATCAGCGGCGTCCCTGGGAGGTGCCAGAAAGGCCAGAAGCTGATCGTAGTTGTCCTATCTCTCCGCAGCCCCAACATCACGCCCTCTCCCACCGCCTCCCCCAACCCTTCGCCAGCCCCGCGATCGGCTCCCACGCCTTCTCCCTCTCCTACACCTTCGCCTGCCGCGGTTCCTACGTCCTCTCCGACCTCGGCTCCCACAACTTCCTCCGCCGCTGTTCCTACGTCCTCCCCGACCGCGGCCCCGAGCCCTTCCCCGGCCGCAGCGCCTACGCCCTCCTCGTTTCCGGCTCCTATGGCTTCCCCGTCCGCAGCACCTCTACCTTCTCCATCGGCAGCGCCCTCGCCTTCCAAGTTCCAGCCGTCTCCTGATCTGTCACCTTCCCCGTCTCCATCGCCAACACACCCTGAGAATGTCTCCTCCCCATCCCCTGCGCCCGTCGAGTCGCCGGCGTCGGGGCCGCTCTCCTCTGCCCCGGGGTCGTCTCCTTCAGCGTCCTCTTACACCTACGCATCTTTCTGGACGGTGGCCGCGGTTCTTTGTGTGGGACGGCTGCTCGCATTGTAGGAGAAGTCTCACCGTGCTAAGGACGAGAACCTATCAAACTATTGTTCACACAAGAATCAAGGGACTATTTTTCACAGATTTTGTCCGTTTAATCATTAATTCCTAGACAAGACATTTCTCTCATTCCTAATTTATTTCGTTCGTTGGCTCAGAGAGAGAGAGAGAGAGAGAGAGAGAGAGAGAGAGGATGTTATGTCTACGCGAGTGTTCGCATTGTTGATGGTTATTCCGCGGTTTTTGTCGCAGGCCATTCGTAATTTATAACTCATACAAGAAAACAACCTGACCATGAGGAAATAGGCCAAGAATCTCAGCACGTTAAACCCCTTAACAAATCCATAGGGGTTCATGAGAGAACGGGCCAAGAATTAGCGCACGTCTGTCCATTATCAAGTCCAAAGTCCCATTCCGATCGCTTTGACCATCTCGTCATGTGGGGCCGTGTTTCACTACATTATTGGTTGGACAGAGCTCTACTTAACACAATCTTTAATGTTATTTAATTACATATATTTACATATATCTATTTACTGGAATCCAGTGCATTTTTATCAAAATGGATAGCCTTTTGGATTTCTGAACATACTTGTGATATGGTTGATGTAAAACTGAAGCTAGACATTTAAAGAAATATGTCTTTAATGTAGATATCATTCTCCACCTAAGATAAAACTGGACAAATTTGTGTAAATCTCATAGATGTCAACTAAGCACTACACAAAATCAGAACAAGAGAGCTGTCATCAAAATTGAGAAAATGAAAAAAATATTTTCAATTTGTTGTTTAACTCAAATTCAAACTATATGCTCATTTTGAAATAGAAATAATTAAAAATTTCACTTCATACCCCACATTTACTCACCAAATTATTGATATTGGTTTAAATGTCATATGGAATATCAATCCAAGGATTCTGTCCTTAAGTGAGGATTGAATGAGAGAGAGACGAGAGAAAAGGAGGTGTTAGACCAAAAGTCCAATATAGACATGAAGTAAGAATGAAGAAAGAGATCAACACACAACAAGACTACTATTAGAAAGATTCACGTGGTTTGGAGGTCAGCCTCTTACATCTATGGGTGACAATGAAAGCTCCACTAGATGAAAAACAAGAATACATAAGTAATCTCACTAAAACCCTAATGAATAGATCCCTGATCTTGACCCTCAAAGCACTCACTAAGAACTTAAAGAATAGATCCCTAATATTGATCCTCTAAACACTCACCACCCAAAAAGAGATTCCCCCTTGGAACCCCTTCTAAGCTCTATCTAATGAGATGCTATGAGGATGACCCAAATGGGAGGAGATACCCTTTATTTATAGGCACATGAAGCCTCCTTGAGAAATATAAATGAACCTCGGAAAATGTGCATTTATTCATTTCAACATTTCCTCCTCTGTCCATGAAATGGTTTGGTGATTCTCAAACCATTCTATTCATCTCAATCTGTCCATGATTGGGTGGTTTCATCCATGAGAATAAGTTCGAGAATGAATTACTTTTGCCTCAAAGACAAAAGCTCTCCTCCCTCCTAAATTAAATATAAGCATATGTGCTATATGAATAGATGAGTGACTTGACTTAATCATTGTATAATAAATCACATAAAATTTAAATTTCTAAAATTAGAAAATACTAATTTTTATATTTTTAGAAATATTTTTTATAATTTGTAGACTAAATGATGAAGATAAAATATATTTAAAAATTTGTGAAAAAAGAAAATTTGGGTGTGAATGTCAAGATGATGTTAATACCCTTAACAAATGTGATTTGGGTAGAAACAAAGTTCCGCGTGATGATTCTTATGTAAACGATTACAAATGATTTAATTGATTGAATTTAGATATGTAGAAATCATAACAATCATAATTAAATGAAGAAGATTTTCAAAGCTTGAAGTCACACAAAATCTCACTAAATTAAGTAAAAAATAAATTTAAAATATGAAAGTCAAAGTAAAAATATTAATAAAATGAGTCGATAGAGTAAAAATACAATGACTTTTAGATTTTTGACAATTATCACTTGGTGGAAATAAGTTAGATGGATGTGAAGCGCAACAAGAAAAAGCTCTTCATCACATCTAGTACGCTTTGAAGAGGTGATGACTTGTCTCTTAGTAGATTATCTTTGTTTATGATGGTTTGTTTATCAAACAATTGGTGATGATTTTTTTAATAAAATCATGATCTTTTTATCTAGAATCATTCAATAGTTGGTAATGATACTCTGTGAATTGCATTGATGATATTTTTATTTATAATTGAGTGATTTTGATAGCTTAATCATTAACTGACACTATGTATGAAAATCACAATTTAATAATGCAAAATAAGGGCTAGAATAGATCTTCTTAAAAAGAGCTACATATTAATATTTAAAGTTGATTTAAATTAGAATATTGATGGGTTAATATTCAGATGATCTCACAATTTTAAAAAAATTAGGATCATTAATTACTTATTAAGTTATCTAATTTAAAGAATCAAACAAGGCTTTTCAACTAGGATTATGACCATCAATCTTTCACACAAGGGTGACTATCTTATGAATCTCACAAATTCTAAGAGCAACGATTTAAGAACAATGACCAACTTCACAAGTAATGTAAAAATCAACACACTTTTGTAATAGAGATTTTTGATATCTTGAAGATTCTTGTTGGTTTGAGTTCTATGAACTTTGTTAGCGACTTTCCAAGATTCAGATTGAGTGGTTTACACCAAAGAGTGGATTGGTATGGTTTGAAGTGAATGGATTGTTTGGAGCGGAGGTTATAAATAAGGTCCATAAGAGGTGAAATAATAAAATAATGATGAAAAGAAAAGAAAAGGTGGAGAGAGAAAAGGGGGCAGAATGAGAGGGCGTTGGTGGGAGAGAGAGAGAAAATGAGGGGGGTATGTGGTGATGACGGGAGAGAGAAGAAAGAGGGTTCTCGTGAGGATGAGAAGTACTTTCATTGGTTTCCATATCTTGTTATTCTATAAAGACTATATCTCTTACATGACCAACTAACACTTAGAAGTCTCATATGAACCAACAAGCTCTTTATAAGAATATGATTATGTCTCGTCAACTTCACCTATAATGGATAGAGCAAATACTACCATGCGAGAATAATTATTAGAAGGTTTAGTTGTCCTTCACTACCTATTTGTACAATATTAGATTGCCTTTGAGAGACTTACTATGTTACAATATTCTATGGCATATCTTCTTGAGGTTTCACTATATCCTCTTACATTATATTTCCTTTTATGAGCTTCACCTCTAGGTCTCATTACCTACTACTAACTTGATCACCATCATATGTTGTTAAATTCTCTCCTACCTAGCACATCACAAACTCATCAAAAGTCACAAGGATAGAAGCTCTCCTCACTCTTGCATTAAATGTAGGCATTTAATGTGCTGCTTGAAACAAAGGGCCACATTAAATAACAAGAAGGATGACATTAATTATCTTCCCCTATGGATTCTTCCATTTTCCCACATTACATGCCGTACCCCTCTAAATTATATGTTCTTATAGATTGCTCCTTGTTTCTGCATGGTTATGGATTAGGCTCAATAAACACATTTACTTTCATAAGGGATATCTTGATGAAATGGACTCTTAATACTCTTTGATATTTATCTAAACTTGGTTCAAGTGAGTGCAATTGGCCCATAGAATCCTCAACTATGTGTTGAGTGAGACTAGGGCATCTGTAGATAACAAGATACAAGGAACATTTGTTGATGGAACATACTCACTACCAAGCTTTGAGTTAAGCAAAATTGTAGTCCTAGCATAGCTTGTCCACTTTGAGTTATGTTAGATCATGCTAAGTAGATTTGATTGAATTTCCAGGCTATCTTTGCGATTGACAATGCAAGATAAGTTGTAATAATTTTTGCAAAACTCTACCAAGATTCATCCCCCAACTACTTTTTTAGGGATCAGAAAAGCAATCAAGCACTAGTTAAATTTCATATCTAATTTATGCAATAAGCATCTTGTATACTTTTTAATGTTACTCATTCATTTGATTCAGATGTAGAAGACTTTAGCAATTTTTATTCTTTAATAAAAAATGAGTGGCAAATCACATGTTCACATTAATTAGATACTAATAATTATAATATATATTTTTTCTTGCTATTAATTTTTAGTTTTGAAATCAATTTCTTTATTTGATCCTAACCCAACTCCCCACTTTTTGGTATCATATTTAGAAATTCTTGTATTCATGGTCAATGATGATAGATAAATAGTGCTAGAACAACTATGAAGTAGTTTCTAAAAAGAAGGCAAGTAGGCTTCTAGATCATATTTTAGAATATCTTTATCTTATCAGCACATTAGAGTTACCACAAATGACAACCCCTAGAAGTAATGATTGTTACCTCTTTGAACCATGCACCACAAGTCTAATTGGGATTGTTAGCCAAAAACAATAAGGAGATATCTTGTTCATCGATCAATGTTGTGAATATCTCATAGCATTAGAGCAGATTATGTTAGTATGGATTGAAAGATACCTCTACATGTATGTTAGGATGATGAAGTTCATGTCCTCAACAACCTAGTAAAGGGGGTTGATGATTCTAGGCTTCACTTGGGACCAAAGATTTCAGAAATACCTTTCATGTATTTAGATCTTTACATTATACAATAAATAACAAGCTATTTTTTAGTTAATATATTAACATATTTTTAGACATTTTTAGTCAATATATAGACTACACACCATGATTATTGCCAACATATAATGGAGAGCAAAAATGTAAGAAAAATGACATCATAGTATGCCTGAAGTTTGTGTGAAAAACCTTTACATATGGAAAATCATGAGAGAGAAATGATAACTCATTAATAAAATTAACATCAAGGTAGCACCAAGATTCCTTCCTCCAAAAAAAAATTAGTTAGAATAGGTTCACTAGGCCCACTAAGCCTATTTTGGACTTATTCTTTCCACGTCCCTATTTTTCCTTTACTATCTCCA